TTCTTTTAGAATTTAAATTTGTAGTTTTAAGCTCAATAATTTAGCATAATTTTATATTTAGTTCATAATAATAATAATATGATTCAGTATTTAGAATGAAAAACTTGTATGATTTGTATGTAATACTATTAGTACCACAAAAGAATTTTATATTTTTCCTTCTTACAATCTTTGCTTTGTAGCAAGACCCACACTTCTGTTGTTATTGCGTTAGAATTAAAACAGTCTAACTGATATATCTATATATAGTTTATTCTGATATTTTGCAAATGGTTCAAACTCAGTAGTGACAACAATAAAACCCATATGTTGGTTGTGAAACAGGCTAAATACATTCATCCCAATAATACAGGTAAGCTATGCCATTCTCACAGTTGGGGGTCTCAATACATTGAAGTTTCGCATTCCAACATAAATCTTGCCTGTAATGAGAGGAATGTGACTAGGACTAATCTTTTAAGTGCTGTAAAGTAATTTTCTATGTAATTTATGGTGTCTGTATCGTTTGGTAATCTCTTCTAACAGGATGTATCAAGTAACAAGGGATCAGGCTCAGGTGGTGTTTATTGATACCACTTGTACTATAAACTGTTACATACATTTGTTAATAGTGGCAATTAGTCTTGTCTCTATTCTGAAACAACATACACGGACATATGTTGAAATAAACTTGTTTGAAAGTTCAAAGAAATGATATTCAAGTACCGAAAAGCTTTCTTACTATCATATGTACAGTAACGTTCAAATGCGCATGCGCTCGGTTGAACGAGAGTGGCCACCAAAAAGGGTGAGATAGTTTACGAACAACGTACAAAGTTCACGCTGCTGACCCCACGGTTTATTGGCACAATAAACATAAAAGTATGACTGCAATGAAACATAAACATAAATATGAAATAAAAATATATTTATGAAACAAAATTAAAATGTTTTATGTACATATATAAACATGAAATCCTAGTTAAAAATAAAAATACTCATTTATTGTTTAGGTTTATTAACAAATATTATTTACGGGTCTGTATATTACTTGAAACCATAAGAAGTATACGTGATTATCAAAAAAATTAAAAATAGATAAAATTTGCATTTTATGGAGGATACATTTTTTTGGGGATTTCAAAATAATGTACTAAAACATTAAAAGTAAGTTCAAATCTGTAGCAAATATAAATATTGTAATCATTTCTAATGTAATTTTCCAAGATATTAAAGATCATAATGCAAAAAAACTAAACTTATTTAAAAAATGTAGGTAGTTTAAGAAACATAAAGCCTATTACCTCAAAGTACTTATGAACTTTCGAATATATTCGTCCACTAGTTTTATTGTTGGAATGAAATATAGCAAAACTTGCATTGCCTACTAAGAAAGTTAGTACCCAGTAGTCATCGGGTTAAGTGGCTTTTCCTAGTTGTTGACTTACGTCATCAACCAATGCAGAACTTAACCACCCCACATATTCCTGTAAAAATTGTGGGACATCTTATCGTGGAGGAGGGCTATATATCATGTCAAGGATGTAGTATTTTCACCCTAATATAAGCATGTTCCATGAACAGTCTGCAGGCACCTGTTCAGTTGCTCAAAATACAACCATCATGTATGACAAGTGTTCATCACAGTCGGTTCAGTTGGTATTAACTTGGCAAGTATCTACTTGTTGGTCTGTAGTGCTCATTCTGCTAAACCACCAGACTGTGGATGATAAGGTGAAATGCATGTTTTCACCACATCAAACTCTTTACACAATATTTGACTGCTAAAATTGGCTCCCTGATCTATATGGATTTCTTCCAGTGCTCCCAATTGTGCTATCAAGTCTTGGTCCACCTTGTGAGTTAGTTAATGATGATGAATATGTACCAGTAGCCTCTCTCAGTTTCTGGGAGTGAACCAGTAATATACAAGGTTCTACACTACAGAGGAAACCCATTAATTCTCTGTTGGAGTGTAATCTGTCTAGGCTGGTTGTTTCTCTGGGTAGCACACACCATACAGTATTTACATTGGCTCTGAACATCTCTATTTAAACGTGGTCAGAAGTACAGGTAATACCTTGATGCCCTCCAGTGTTTATGTAATCCAAAACTTGAAGAATATCTTGCCATAAAATTCTGGGGACAACAAGCTGTAGTACAATCTGAAAAGTGCAGTTTGGTGATTCATACCAATGGTATAGCACACCTTCCTGCACTCATAACTGACCTTAAAGGTGCCACAGATTATGTACATCCATGTTACATATTTCTATTTCTACCAGACAGAAGTAACCTTGCTACATGGCAAGGAGCTCCATGCTAAATCTGAGTCATTCAGTTGCTTTTCCTGGCACTCCCAAAATGTTAATTGTGGCATCCATCCACTAGTAGAATCTCCTACTGCATGGCTTGTTGTTGCTATGACAGAAATCATTTTGACTCCCACACAATGTCTATGATCAGGACATTTCATGAATGAACAACGTCTCACTGTGCAATGAGATAGTCCATCTGCATTTCCTTGTTACAGGCCTGTGTGATGCACTATGAAATGGTTATATTTTTGCAATGTTGTTATCCAGGGTCATATCACCCTCCTCTGGACTTTTAAAGTTCATCAACCATTTCAGCAAAGCATGGCCTACCTATATGGTTAACCTCCAACCATACAAGTTACAACCAAAAACGTCAGAGACGGTACCCAACTCATGAAACAATGAATTCTAATCTTTATAAGTTGAAACATATATGCAATTAGGTACACTGTTTACCAGTTTAATTTTTGTTATAAGTATATAGCATGCTCTGATTGGAAGTTAATATTAATTATTAACTCTTACCATACAAGTAGTAGAGACCGTGTTTCATAAAAACCAAATCAGTTCTTTTTCTTTTGTAGACAGTCACTGCATTTGGAAGCCATGAGTGTACGACTAGCATGCACGATAACATGTTCTACTCGGTCCTGCAACTGTGATAAAACCACCCCAAATCCATTGCTGCTAGTATTAGTGTCCAATCGGAGCTTGCTGTCTTGTCATGGATTGCCAGCACTGGAGCATCCACTAAAGCAAGCTTTAGGGATTTTAATGTTTGGTCACAATCCTTGTTCCATCTGTAGAACACCACTTGTGTATACGAAAGTACTGCTCTTTCCTATGTTATACACACACTTGTAGAGTCCATTATTTCAGTGATCAATTTGGCCAACATCAGATAACTCACGTGGAACAACTGTTTCACCCATTGCACAGGAAAAATTAATGGATGATTTCTGCTGTATGTCTGTCCCGAGGATGCCATTGCCAGATCTGAGGTCAGACAAAACTACCTTCATTCTGTGAGCAACATTTTATCGACACAGCCAGAGATTCACCTCTTCATTTATGTATGATATATTGCCAATTGCCAGAACAAAGTCATTATCGACTAGCCAGGATAGTAGTTTCACTTGAAGGGCATGATAAATTTGAAGGTCTAACTGTTCTAAGTGCTCCTGTATGGACCCGGAACCAAATCTCTTCTCCTTGCATTCTCACAGATATGTAGTAAGCTTCATCCAGTCCTGATAGAGCTGGGCTAAACTCTGGTTCAAATAGTCTGCTGTGCTCTTGTATGTTGATGGCCAGGCCCAATTTCAGTTCTGTTTGTTTTCTGGAGCATTTGCAGCAGTGTCTACTGCTTGTTGCTGGTTATCCTAGACCTGTTCAGCTGTTAATTGGCACCAATAGCTTTGCCTACTTTGCTGCTAAGTAAAGTATGGGCAATGTTGATTGGGTGGCCTCTGTTGAACTACCAGTCCTGTCACCTTTGCTTCTCAACAAAGTACAGGCAATTCATGCACCAGTATCTGTCCAGACCACAAGCAAAATATATGCTTTGCCTCCCCCCATTCTGGGTGACATCCAGCAGAGGCAATATCAGCATAGACTGTGGCATGTACCTCATGAACAGACCTGGGTTGCCCTGGCCATTCACTAGAAATCACTGTTTTTGCATTTGAGCACTGGGGTGTGTAGGTGGCTGGATAACCTTTGCAATGGCTCTAACTGGACATAGGAGAAGTTCCTGGGTATGTAATCAATATAGTGTTTGTACAGGAAAAGTTTGACACTTTCTTGCTTTTTCAAACATCTAGTCATGTTTCTAAATTTCTTGCTTACCTGAACTCCCAACACACTAATATTAAGTTCACACCAGATCTCAAAGAAAATGAACCTTTAAATTTCAGAATTCAGAATTACTAAAGAAGATAAACATTTTGCTACCTCTGTTTTCGTAAAAAGACTTTTACAGGCCGTTACACTAATTTTAACAGCACTGTCCCCAACCTTTTCAAATGCAATGTCATGTCACTTTTAAACCAAAATTTTAATGTCTGCTCTAATTACATTACTTTACACAGAGAAATTACTCTTCTACATAAACGACTGTTAAACAATTACAACCCAAATAATTTGCTAATAAACATTACTCACAACCTTCTAAACAACAAATGCAAAACATTTGCTACTTTGCACACTGTCTCCAAATTCCCCTCATTATCTGCCTTCCTTTTATGAGCTCACAAACCTTAAATAAATAAAAAAATATAATCCTTGATTAAAAACTTCTATCTTCAAATTCAATTCAGACTAATATATAAACCTAGTTTCCACATTAAACATTTCTTCAATTATAAGGATTGAATACCAACACTTTTATGTTCATGGTTCGTGCATGTGTATAGTGATTACATTGGCGAAACAAAGCACTACTTAAAAACTAGAGCCTTTAAACATTTAGGAGTATCCAATAGGACCAGTCATCCATTACCTAAACCAAGCTACTCAGCTTTTCATTCACATGTTGAAATCAGAGGTCACAATTTCATATAATTTCTCTATCATTACTCCAAACGCACATCTTGTGTGTTGCACGTTATTGTCGACGAAGACTTTCCCCCAATACCAGAGCTAATCAGGTTGGCTGGGAATGCATAAGGCGGTACATGCCATAAGAGAAACGACCAATATAAATAGCGTTTCGACGAAGGCTTCATACCAACTATTACAACTCACTACAACTGTCCTGGATACTAGGTTCACAAATCACCTGTTGTTGTGAAGATCAGGTATCAGTGAGATTGGTTGATATTGAGATACTATAATTTACATGTATACAAAATAGTGAATTTCCGTTATTCCGTCATCATAATATTATTAATATGATCAAATAGTAATAACAATGAGATATTTCCAGTTTTAATTACGACAATTAGAATGATTTTTTACTACTTATTTGCTTATTGTGATTTCGTTGCACTGTAATAGAACTAACTGTAGGTTTCGGAGCGAGTAAGGATTATGCTATAAGTTATTTCAAGACGAGAACGGGGAGACGTTAAAATAACCGAGAATGGAAAAAAATATCTTTACTTCTTGTATTAATAAACCAGGGTTATTGTGTTACTTGATCATTTTTCTGTGAATACTATATTCCGTAATCTAATGATATATAATATAAATATTCCTCACGTCAGTTTTTTGTATTACAATTGTATACATCGCACCCACATCTTCATTTTCTCTCTTATAACAATATATTGTTGCGTCAGCGAGTCACATCACTACTGTGACGCCACGTTTCTAGAACTATCCTGTACTTTGGCGAATGCTCTAGTATTTACTAGATATAGGGTAGTCGGGTATATATTCACTGTTTGGATTTGCTTTGTGTGTTTGTGTTTTCAGCAGGGATGCACGAGTAGTAAAATTTGGTCAAATAAGCTTCGAGTGTCAACCGAGACTGAGTTCTCTCTCCCCCTAAAAAAGCATACACAAAAATTAGAAACAAAAACAAAATAGACATTTATTACATATAACCGAATAATTACCAGCAGAAAATTCAAGTTTTACTTTCACCTTTCAATGCCTAGCCCCAACTTCTCAAATCCTAACCCCGATTGTTCTCAAAATTTCCACCTTCCCCAAAAATTCACTTCTCAAGCCATGCCTGTTATTAACCACTATTGTTCTCTGAATCACCAACTTTCAGCCAGTCTTTGTTGCTCAAAACACATTTTTTTTTTTAACTAAACCAATTATTGACTATAACTTTTAGTACTGGATTAGTTGCCACAAAGATTAAGGCTTAGATGCCTAACTTCAACACTCAGGTGGAGCCGAGTAGCCCAGTACCCAGCCAGAACTGATTATTTAGCCCGGGTACCCATGCATCCTTAGTTTTCAAGGTTTAGTATTAACATTTTTGTTGTCATTCACACAAGCATTTTATCAGTTGAATATATTATAACTTTTATTTATTTTCTTCACAATGTTTCACCAGGTTTACCTGGCAATATCAGGTGAGATACAAGAATGGATGCTAACAGAAATTAGTTTAAAAAAAAAATTCAAATTAATTTCTGTTAACCTTAATTCTTGTATCTCAAGAACAAACGAAAAAATGTACACAATTTTTTTTAATCAGTGTATTTAAGTTTTTTTTTAAAGTGTCATTATTCATTAGTCTATTACACATCAAGATGTATCCAGAACTACCAAAATGATGTAAGATATATTTTTCAGTTGTTATAACTGTTTGTTTCTATTCTTTGACTATAGATACCAAGACTTATGTAAACAACATTTGTGGAAAACACTGTTCTGATAATTTTACTTCAACACAAGAAGGTTCATCTGAAAGTACTAAACACATGGTAACCCAGCTTAATTCTTCAAAATATGAACATGTTGGTGTTTGTAGAAACTTTTACAGCTGTGACTTGTGTGGGAAAACATTTAAAAAGATGTTATATTTAAAACATCATCTTAGAAATCATCCTTCAGAAACGTTACTCAGTTGTCATGTGTGTGGACAAATTTGTAAAACAGAATATATTTTAAAACTACATATGATGATACACACGGGGGAAAAACCCTATGGTTGTGATGTTTGTTTCAAAAAATTTACTAGAGAATCTTATGTGAAAGTCCATAAGATGACCCATACTGGAGAAAAGCCGTACGCATGTGATGTATGTGGTCTAAAAACTGCAAGAAAAGATTCCTTAAAACTTCATAAAAAGATCCATAATGAAGACAAGTCACACACTTGTGGTGTATGTGGTAAAGGTTTTACATACAATTCAAAACTTATAATTCATCAGATGCTGCACAAAAAAAAGAAACCTTTTAATTGTGACGTTTGTGGCAGCACATTTGAAGTTAAAGTGCAGTTAAGACGCCATATTGTAATCCATACTGGTGAAAAGCTACACATTTGTGATGTATGTGGTAAAACATTTACTGGGAAAGATCACTTACAAGATCACACAATGGTACACACTGGAGAGAGGCCACACATGTGTGATGTATGTGGCAAAACATTTAGAAGAAAAAAATACTTACAAAACCATAAAATAATCCACACTGGAGAGAAACCACACATCTGTCAGGTATGTGGTAAAACATTTTCAAAGAAACATCGGTTAAATAAGCACGAGATGACCCACATTGGTAAGATCTACAGTTGTGATGTTTGTGACAAATCGTTTCAAAAAATTTCAACTCTAGAGAATCATCTAAATAATCACATAAAGAAAATATATGTTTGTAATGTGTGTGGTAAATCATTTGAAAAGTTTCTAGATTTAAGACAGCATGTTTTAATCCACACTGGAGGGAAACCTTACAGTTGTGATGTTTGTGGTAAGTCATTTAAAAGGAAGGATAAACTTGAAATCCATGAGAGGGTCCACACTGGAGAAAGGCCATTTGTTTGTGATGTGTGTCAAAAAGCTTGTATAACAATACATAGATTAAAAGAACATCTAAGGACTCATACTGGAGAGAAACCGTACAGCTGTAGAGTCTGTGGTAAAATGTTTGTTCATTCTTCATCTCGTAATAAGCACCAGCGTACCCACAGTAAAATAAAAGTGTAACTTATTTGGACAACCAGTTGAATGTAAAGTGAATTTATGACAATATTATAGAAACATATTTTATGAAAGTCATATAAATGTGAGTGGTAAAACATACAATTCATGATTCACATTGCAGCATGATCTTAAGTAACAACTATTAATAGTGAGAGAACATGCAATTATAATGGGTATAATAAGGCATTGAAACTAAATAGAACTGTAAACATTTGGTTACTCAAACTGAAGATAAAAAACAAGCATTGTTGTGTGTGAAATATAATTTAAAACAATTTCAAAAACATTAGACTATTCATATATGGGGGACAAAAATACGTAGATGAATCTCGTGTGAAAAATGAAGTCTGATAATGAATAGTAGAGCATGGAACCAATTGTAAACCTTTAATGAACGTTTCCAAATTACATATATTCCATCTTAAGGAAATCTGTGATAATAATAAATAGAACATACATATTATAATTACTAATGTAAAAATACAATGAATGGTATAAGGAAATTATACAACATTCAGTTTAAAAAAAGAGAGCTATTTGAATGAAGCAAGGGAGAAGAAATGGACTTTCTGGTAAGACTTGGATTTTTATTCATAACATGTAAACTTTCTTTTATCGACAGTTTATGATCATTACATCCATAGATTAGAATGGAAAAGTTTTCTAAGGAAACAGGATGTGATGACATTTCAATCTAACCTACCCAGGCCTGACATGGCCAGGTGGTTAGGACGTTCGACTCGCAATCTGAGGGCCTCTGGTTCGAATCTCCGTCACACCAAACATGCTCGCCCTTTCAGTTTATGATCATTACATCCATAGATTAGAATGTAAAAGTTTTCTAAGGAAACAGGATGTGATGACATTTCAATCTAACCTACCCAGGCCTGACATGGCCAGGTGGTTAGGGTGCTTGACTTGCAATCTGAGGGCCGCTGGTTCGAATCTCTGTCACACTAAACTTGCTCGCTCTTTCAGCTGTGGGGGCATTATAATGTGAAGGTCAATCCCACTATTCGTTGGTAAAAGAGTAGCCCAAGAGTTGGCAGTAGGTGGAGATTACTAGCTGCCTTCCCTCTAGTCTTACACTGCTAAATTCAGGACAGTCAGCACATATAGCCCTCGTGTAGCTTTGCACAAAAATTAAACAAACAAACTAACCTACCTATATATTCTCCAAAAGAAACACATTAAGTTAATTCTTTGTCTTTCCAAGGCATATAAATAATGGAATACCATTACATCTCAATACAAATTCCAACAGGCACCTAAAAATCGATAATTAGGCCTAAGGTTTAAATATGCTTCACACGCAATACACGAGTTTACCCACTATGTAACCTACAGCACTTAGCCTTAATAGTCACTGCCACAAATTCATTCATTTTTGATGGTCTATAGCTAAATGATTGTGCAAAAGATAATAATTACAGATTTCAGGTGACATGTGATTTAGACACATATACACACCTCAGAAATTTACAAAAAAGATGGCAGTTGAGTTTTACACTATTTACTACCATAGTTTTAAAAATTTACTATTATACAGGACCTAAAAATGTAGGCTTAATTTTTAAATATGCTTCTTACACGAAACATGAGTTTACCTGCTAGGGAAATAAAATATTACGCCATTTCCATTACTGATGGTGCACCTGATATTTTACAAATTCTTTTGTTCAATCACGTGAACTTTGGCTATCTGTTTTACTTTTGGTGTATGAGTGATGAGCTAGCAAACAAAATGGTCGCTAACAGTGAAGATTGCTTCAGGTAATATTCTTTTTTCATTTTTTAGTTTATTTGGAAAAAATGGAACTTTTGAAGTTGTTTTGAATTTAGGAAATATTTAATGAGTAAGATTGTTACAATTTTAACACCTTTATTTCTTCAATACATAGTTATTTCTCAATAAGTATGTGTCACCTGCTCACTTCATATTACTTTGTTTAGTAACTCTCTGAAAGCATTTTAAAATTCTCTTATCCAAATGTAGAATTCACAGTGTAGGAAAGTGTCAGGACATACCAAGCAAAGAGATGAATTTTAAAAAACCTGATGATTTAAGAAATTACTTACAAGAAAAGTGCCTTTAAAGATAAAGTTGTGCCATTTAGGAAAATGCAGTGAATACCATCCAGTGATCCAGCATGTTAATTCTTTTATCATCACGTAAACCATCCTGTAAGTGCATATTCTATTAAAAGTTCTTCTACCAAAATTGCTTCTCCCATCAAAGTAATCATCTTATTATAAGTTCATAACCCTACCAAAATTACTTCTAACATAAAGTAAACCATCCTGTAAGTGCATATTCTATTAAAAGTTCTTGTACCAAGTTCTTCAAATGACTTCTAACCCCAACAATTAAGCAACTAGTGTTCGTTTATTCATGATATAAACATCTTTATTGCAAGTTTTTTTAATTTCACATAAAAAATAAGAGTTCACTTGGTTTACTTATTAACCTTCTTACAAGCAAAGCATAACAATAAAAAATAAAGAAATAAACACAGTCTTGTGCTTGGGGACACTGGGAACAAAGCCTTTGGAAAATCTAGCCATCATGTTGAATGAAAGGATTTGGTATGGATTCCAAACCATCCATGGGACATACAACTACTACTGCTGTCCCTCTACAGACTACAAGTCCTAAGGTCCTAGTATCCTCAGTCAGTTTGAAGGGGTCATCTGGATCTATAAAGGAAAATATAAGAACATATAAGCATTTAATAACAAGAAAATGAAAAATGCAATATTAAAATGATTTTACAACAGTGTTGCATATAGTAATCATAATTCCTTTGTATGAAATTTTACACAAAACTTATAACAATGAAGGCTATAACCAACTTAACGTGACTTCTTCATTATAAAATTCAGAGGAACTTAGCAACAATAAGTTTCTGTAATTAGTTTAGCATAATCTGTTGTACACAAATATTTTATTTTTATATCTTTACTCCATGGCATCCTCCAGTAGGTCAGCAGTAAGTTCCTGGACTTACAATGCTAAAATCTGAGGTTCTATTCCCTGTGGTAGACAGAATGTGGACAGCTTATCATGTAGCTCTGTGTTGAAAAACCCAACAACACTAATATTTTTTATAGATATTGATGTCCATAAATAAAAATTAAACCCTGAAACTGAGGAATTTGTAACATATAAAAGATATTATCAAATGGATATTTAATATATAAAGTTTACTGTCAAATACATTGGTTATTATGCTGTGTAGGTTACAAGCTATAACTTCTTATCCATTCACAAGTTTAATATATACTATGCTTGCAGAATTAATCCTAATTCTAGTAAGCATTATCTTAAATAAGTATAAAGTATATAGGCAAAATGATTCTGAATAAACTGTAAATAGAAAGAAAACTAGCTCACCTCGTAAAAACTCTGTAGTGTTGTCAAGTACCAAGTTCAGGAGAGGATCATATCCTTTTAAGATGCCTGTAGCTAGGATAAGGACACAAAGAATTTAGCTAAATACAAATTTTTTAATAAAATGTTGTACTGGAAATGTAGATATTATAAGAGTTAGCTGCTATGCACACATTTCTAAGTAAATGAAAATGCTTACAAAATGTACATTATAAAATTCCTGAAATAAACAAAGCATATAACTTTTCAGATGTTATACATCTTGTTCACTACTACCCACATGGATGGTTGGGGTGGGCAGCTGGGTAATTTGTTCTGGTCCTGGGCATACAGGTGAACCCAGACAAAAGATTTCTGTGGGTGGCACTAATTATTAGATACCCAAACTTATTTTACATCACTGACACTACTTTAAAAAAATTTAATTCTGTTAATACTACTTTTGAAGAAAACAACATATTAATGTTATTATTAAATTATAATTAACAGAACTTTGTACTACTAGCAGAATATTACATACATTATAGATAAACACGAGTTAAAAACCCTTGAAACTTATGTTATTGACCTAAACATTGTAAGTAGAGAATAACTACATTTCTATTTAATACAATTATGTCAACACAGTTCAAGCTAAAAAATCTTATAATAAAAAATCAGAACACAAATGAAATGTCTTAATCAACATTTATGGAACTAAGACAAACTACTATTATGTAGTTTCTGTATATTTTGTACATTATATATATTTTATGTAGCAATTTAAAAATTCTGAATATTGTTTTCTTAATTGTCCAACAATGAGGAAATTTACCGCTTGTGGTCCCTTTTAGCTACGAGAGTTTTATAAAATATTTTAAGGTATACTGAAACATTTGAACAGATAAACTTTATTTCATTCAAAAGTTTCAGATGTTTACACGAGTAAGCATCTTACCCACATACAATACAAAATTACTATGAAATCTGTTTTAGTTGTTTGATCAGTCATAAAGCTATGCAGTGACATATAAATGTATTTATTTAGTTATTCATTAAAACCTGAACTTCAGTGAAGAAAAGGTGAGTTCTAATATTTTCTTTAATTTACTAGTTTTGCTGAAATCATTGCTGCTTGGAAGAGTGAAGCAAGTAAATAAAGTAGTGTTTGGATGTAAACAGTTTGTTTGGTTTGATGTCCTTTACTCAAACTACAAATACCTTAGGTGTTTGGATAATGAGACATACAATCACAATTAATTAACCATTATCATTCAGCAGACTAACTGGTTATTTAGTTTGTAATTGCTTTTCTTCACCAAAAAATGAACTTCAGTGAAGAAAAAATCATATAGAGGCCTAAGTTATTCTTTGATTCTGTTGCAGAAGCAGACTAACTTTGCTGAGTTCACAACTCATCAGTGCTTCAGAAGAGTGAAGTAAATAATTAAACTAGGATTCACATAGTGTGAATCAAAGATTAGACTAGGTCTCTACATCATCACTGAAATTCATGTTTTGAAGAAGAAAAGAAATTAATAACTACATAAATAACCAGTTAGTTTACTGAATGATAATGGATAATTAGTTGCAATGGTTTGTCATGTGTTATCCAAACATCTGAAGTATTTTAGGTTCTTTGTGGTGAGTAAAGAATTATACATTAAATCCAAACTAAAATAAATATTTATGATTATCTTTGTATAAAATGTTAGTTACAACTGTATTATTCAATATTTTTGTCTTTATTGAGATGTTACATTTTACTATATTCTTTCAAAGTAGTAAGTTACTCTACCACACCAAACAGGACTCGTAGGTTAATAAAATTAGGTCTTGGGTTGCACAATCTTACCTTCACGCCCACCTTGGAATTTAACTCTTATAGGTTTGTCCAAGTATTTTGATAAATCAACAATTCCTTCCTTCCTTCTCTTTTCTTTATCTGTTCCTGATTGTGATGTAATCTAAAACAGTGGGATTATCAGTTACTCATGGCACTTTTACAGAATTGAGGAAAACAAAGATAATTATATGTTTCAAAAATATTTCATTTATTATGACCATGGTTTCACCATTAAAGGCATCATCAACTCCAGGCTGAACTAAAACTAGCTATTAGGTTGTTACAGAATTGATGTAAAAAAATTTCTCATATAAAAGCTGTATTCATAGCATTATAAGTTTCTGAGGAGCTAGCTAAGGTAGCTCTATAAATTACTGCAAATGCTTATATGAAAACACAGAACTAAGAGTGCAATGTAAAGTTAAAACAAGTCTGGAAACTAAAGATTTAAATAAAAGTACGCTCAAACGATTACTAATTTGTGACTCTCTTTACTTCTCATATTTAGATACCCTATATTAAAATTTTGTAAAAAAAAAGTCCAGTTCTTTTCTTAGTTTTTTGTGAAAGTTGTGTCATTTTTACTTTACAAATTATTGTGAAATCATCATACAACAATAGCAAAACGAAACTAGATGAAATGTTAAATTAAAATATCATGGTCTATCTATACATAATATTAGTAGGTACCCAGATCTTATTTACAATGTCAAATCATATGGGGCAACTGAAGAAATCTACAATTTCCAAGTTTACTGTTTCGCAACTTCTACATTATAAGAAAAGTAAACTAATATGTCATTATGTGTATAAATATGTCTGCTGTCAAAAATATTAAACAAGGAGAAAAGGGTATCATGAACAACTTGATCGAGTAATACTGAGTAACCTTAAATATTTCTAGTCTAAACAAGACCAATGCCATTTCAAGTTTATAATACGTACAAAATCAAGATAAGGTCTATGTAAAAGCAATTCATTTAACAACGAATCTAAAGCACTAAATATTACCATTTTTTATTTGTTTTATGTTAGTCCTGCCGCTTTGCCTAGACGAAGACCAAATTTGCCCTCTTGTGATGCAATTATTATTATCCGAAATGAAATATATTACAGCTTTTTGTTTATAAAGAACGGCCCTTTGACTTTAAAAAAAAACTATGGATGTATATATATACATATATATATAATTTTATTACAATATAAGTTGCCTCTTGTGACGCAATTATTATCTGAAATGAAATATGTTACAGCTTTTTTGTTTATAAAGAACGGCCCTTTCCTTTAAAAAACTATGGATGTATATATGTTTTTGATTTTATTACAATATAATTTATTTGATAACTAAAAAGAATAATCAATTAAATATGGTTCTGATTGTATCAGACAGGTATTGTGGTAAAGAATGTACACATACAAGAGTTACCCAAATTTACAAATTCGTGCTCTTATATCTCAAGAAGATGCAAATATAGTTGTCCCACACTGAAATCGGGAGTTAGGTTCCTCGCTGTGAAAATAGTGCGAGAAGTCCACTGTGTAGCTTTGCGCTAAGAAAACAACGGCATATGAAGTTATAGTTGTTACATATTGTTACGTCTCCGTTTGTTAATTAACTTTCCGTAACTTCGTTCCGACGAAACTTTAGCGACACAAGTTCTTTACTTAATAAAACTGGTTTATTCTTTCCGAATACAACTTTACCTATACACTCAACTTCAACAATCGCGCTAAACAAACGCTATAACAACGAACGTGCTCAATAATACTTCTGACTGCAGATCAATTACTCACTGTCTACACACACATTACATTATCTTTTCGCGTCACGTTTTCCCCCTCTTATTTACAAAATAATTCCATGTTTATTCCTTCAATTTTGATATCTTACCAGTGACACTGTTTTGAATTTTCAGAAAAATATCAGTAACTTTCACAAAGCCTTAGATAAGAGACATTTTCTTTATTCACTTATTCTTCAGTGGTTGGGTTGCAGAAAATGGCTTTTCAAAACAGCAAAAATGAGTAATATCTTTAATATAATTTACACTTTGTACTGATCTACATTTGAAAATATAGGACAAAATGATTTCAGTAACTTTTATTAATTCAAAAAAACAATAAAAATAAAGTGCTGTTTCAGAACTAATATTAAGCTGTGTTTTGTTATAAAGCTTGAACTAAAATCTGCAGT